GGGTTTAATATTTTTCCTAGAACTTTTTTTTTTTTTTTTTTTTTTTTTTTTTTTTTTTTTTTTTTTTTTTTTTAAAAAAAAAAAAAAAAAAAAAAAAAGCTAAAAACTTGTAGTGTTGCCTAACCCTGGACAGACAGAAAAAAATGTGAAAAATCTTAACCAGATTCCAAATGTCCAGCCCAAAATCGGAGGGTGGAATTCTGATCCTGTTCAGATGAGCAGCCCTCCCAATGCTGTTGGGGCTGGTAGATCACCTGGGGAACGGAACCGAGCTGGGCTTTTCTGCACTCTTCCCTGCCAGTTAAGGGTAAGATGATGTCTTATTGTCTAATTCTAGGAATTTTAATCCAAAATTAATCATTTCCAGTTCTGCTTCTCAACTGAAATCTCTAGAGCCCCAGGTTTGGGAGTGGGCACAGCAAAATGCTTGCGCTCCTGCAGCGGCGTGCGTCCTTCTGGGAACAGGGCGCCCAGCTCTAGTGAGAAAGGAGGCTGTGATCTCCGTGTTCCATACATTTGTACTTTCCTGTGAAATGTAAGAGAGATTAAATAGGGAGGGTTTTGTAGAAATATGCAAACGTTACTCCAAAAGGACTGAATTGATATCTGAAAAACAAGTTAATAAAACCCTGTGACATAAAATTCTGCAGCAGAGATACAGTGAGGGACAAGACTGTTACAAAGGCTAACTAATCTCCTTTGGTTGCCTTTATAATGATGGCTAAATTAAGTTTCTGCTAAAAATCACCCTGGAGAGGACTTTATCTCTCTCTTTTAACTATAAAAAGTGCCTTGTTCATTAGCCTCAGTAGGCTTAGGTGAGCTTTTGTGAATATCCCCATTTTTCTCTGCTATTGTACAATATACATCAGCTATCATCCCTTCTTGTTCCCCGTTCTTAGACCAGGAGTTTTCTTTGATTCTGGTTCATTCGTGCTGGTAGGTTACTTTTCTTCTCAGCCATTGTTGCTTTTGAGTTTGAATTTTTCTAGGTCCATCTATAAGGACTGGTACATTCTTGCACATCTCGGCGTATTACGGATAATGGATCTGAACAGGCTGCCCTAGTTCAACGCTTTACAACTCAGAAAAATACTCATTTTCCTGTGAAGTGTCTTTGTGCATAGATAGCAGAATTGATAGAATGACCTAGTGACAGAGCATGGTGTAGTTGTGGACAGAGCACACGCGGAGGAGACCAAAATTCGGTGCAGAGGGACCTCCAGCAAGTCATTCTGTGCCTCAGTTCCCCATCTGTGAACAGGGTTTGTAGCATTGGGAAGAAAAAAAAGAAGCCAAACTTATGTTATCCAAAACTGTTTGGAAACAACCCCAATTGACTGGAAAATCCTACATAATTAGGAACTTTCTCAACCACTGTAGCCCTAAGAGGCTTGACACAAAACTGGAAAAATTCCACCCAGAATATTTTGCGTAAGAATATTAGTCATAACCTCAGAGTAATTAAGGACAATCGCAAAGTTCACAGGTGGAACATTTCATTGCTTCAGCTAATTTTAGAAGTTCTTTCTGCCTCCAGCACTGGAGGTTGACCACCTGGCAACCTTCGTACAGTGCTTTTAACCATCCCGGGCCAGTGCCATGGATACAGCCCGATGAGCAGACCCAGCCAATGGCAGAGCCGTAACGACTGCCTTCTTTTCTTCCCACTCCTCCGGGTTTGCTCTCTGACCTTGAGCGAGGCAAATTACTTTGCTTTGACAAGTAGTTAACCTTTTCTGTAGACAAGTCTCTCACAACTGTGTTTTAGGGTTACTTTATTACTGTTGTTAGAAAAGCATTCTAAAACCTTCAAAAGGAAGGCTGTAAAATACCTCGGAGTATTACTTTATAATCCAATTTATCAGAAGCCCAGAATAGTATTAGGCTGTAAATCTATTTATCAGGAGCCTAGTCTTCCTCAAGTGAGCTCAAGTTTCAAATTCAGACACATCATGATTCACTTGTGTATTATAACATGCCAAATTGTGGCATAATTAGACTTCTGTAAGTCTGGGATTCTATTTGCATGAAAAAAAAAAGAGGAAAAGATTGAGGAAAAACTTTCATGCTGATCTTCTAATTGTCAATCTTTGTTTAGTTTGGTGCTTGAAAATTGGAGAACATCGAGAAACATTTGAAATTAAAAGCTCAAAACATTTTGGGTTTTTTTTTTAAATACAGTAGCAGAAATCTTGGTTTGTTTAATCACTTGCTTGGAATTTTTACTGAAAACATTTACCGCATTTAACATAAATTAGCAAAATTAACGCAGTTTCTGCTGCTGCTTACCACTCTCCTCCTCCTCACACAGACCTTATGCCCACAGCAGGTCAGAGTTACAGACCCTCAGTTCCATTCGAAGTTTGCAGAGATGGTTATTCTGCCATTGCTACATGTCAGGCTTCACGTCGTCACTTGAACGGACTTTACCGGTTTCGCTCATTGTTTCACAGTATCCTTGGGTTAAGTAGCAAGTTCTTAAAAGGTTCCTAAATCTTAGAAAGGTATTTCTTCATTCTTACCAAATTTCTTCCAGAATTCTAAGACTTTACTGATGATTTTTATTTGTCTGAGTCAAATGTTGAGCGTCTTGGGTGTTCGAATAAATTCTAGTCATAATTTTCCTGTAACCAGAATAGGGCAACCCTGCACTGGAACAAGCTTTTAGATAGAGTGTATTTATAATCATAGAAAGAAACCTACTCTGAAAGTCATAGTGCCAAAAACAGAAAAAAAAAGGGAACTTTTTCATATGCCAGGACATTACAAAAATCCCAGCAGGGCAGTAACTGAAGGGTCAGTAACCTCACATCATAATAAAGAAAGACAGAATACCATGGTCTGCTCATTGGAGGGTCTAATTTTAAATCATAGCCACTTTTAGGAAGATAGACTATGTTAAAATAGAAAGAAATATGTTTAATGTCTAGCACAGAGAGTTTAAGGCTTCAGGGAAATGTTAGGATACCCAGTCCCATAATTGCTCAGCAGACCTTATCTCCTAAGTAGGCAGAACAGGTACCGTAAGAGGCACAGAGATCTCAAGTACACGGCAAAGGTCACGGGCAGGACATGAACAGAACCCAGGGCTGAGTCCCTCTAAGGACTGGTTGATGTTGCTGCTCACAGGATGTGAGGACTGAAGTTAAAACAGAGTCAATGCCATGATATACTCTATCTTGTTTGACAGGACATCATCTACTCAACTGTTCAAGACTCAAAATGTCTTAAATTAACTTATTTTTTTCTAGTTTATGGTTGATGCACAAAGCCACATATTTAAAGAAAAGAGAAAAAAGAAGGAAAAAAAAAAAAAGACCAAACCACAAAAATCAAACCAAACATTTTTTATTCTACTCAAACACCTAGTAACACTCCATTATTTTTCCTCCCTAGTAGAGGACGAACAAGAAGGTGAAGAGCTCCAATTCCTGCCCTTTCTTCAGTCAGCGCCACTCCTAAAGGGGTTCACTACCTTCAGAAGTCCTGTTGTCAACTCTCTTCTAGAGCTATATGTGAGTCATATATCCTCTTTCTGTGTTGGAATGAAACGTGCTGGTTTACTATCAACAGTCAAAGTGGGACATGTTGCAAATGAATGTGTTTATCCAAATATTTTATCTTTTTTTTTTCCCCCAGCCCAAAGACCAGCAGCCTGCCCTTGCATCTGAATAGTTAAACTAATGAGGTTTTCCACTATGTTTAAAACAAATAGAGGGCAGAGAATAAAAAGAAAGTCACCCCACTATAATTCCACATCTTTAGTGAGGTGCACACACAGCCAAATCGTTTGTTACTGCAACTTTGGTGCAGATGTTGAGACTTTATAAGTGAATTGTGCCTTGTGCTCCCCAGTAGATGTGAAGACACTGACCATAACGTGCAGGGCTAGAAACCTAATCCAGAAAATATTAAATCACCTAATTTGGCATCCATTAATTGAGTGAAATTATTCAGCTGCATTAATTTACGTACATATGCAGGTGTTCCAAGGGTCCTGTTCTAAAAGAAGACAAATCAGGTGTTCGTGTTACACTTAGAGGGAAGCAGAAGGAAGTTAATTAGGATTGCTTGGGAACACCCACAGTGTATTTTCACGTTGGTTGGTCGTTCTGCACTTTCCTGGAAACCTTTCTCTCCCTCTGTCTCAGTGATATTGTATAACCAGTTCATTACTGTAAAAGCAGTAGAATACAAAGAGTACCAGATCTCTCAGGTTTTCTCCACCAGATTAGACCTTTCATGGTCTGTCCACCCAGCAGATGCAATATATGTGTCTGTATTTCAATAAGGCTGTATTATTATTATTGGATCCCTGTATTCCAAAGAGATTGTAATTGCAGCGGGCCGTTACTGCTAGGTCTTGTAGCAATGCCTGCTGTGTTAATTGTCAGTAAAAATCCAGAGTGCATAGGTAGTCCTTGCTTTGGGATCAGGCTGTTACTTGCTCTACTCAATGTTTCTGCCCGTTCCTTCTCTATTTGACCCTGCCCCTTAGGACTGCCCACCCCAAAGCCTCCTTTCCCTTGGCAAGGTTCATGGAGGCACATCGTGGAGTTCCCCTCCACAAAAAGGAGACTGTCACAGCAATGGTCACCCTAAACAGCTGACATGGAATGTGAAGAGAGGGTATATATGCTACAGCTTCAGCTGCCAGCCTTTCCTAGGCTGCACACAGCAGTGGCTTCACAAACTATGGCTTCTGTGGGCAAATAAGCAGTCCAGGGCTTGTCTGCAGAACCATGTCTTCTCTGTTTTCAGTGAAAAGTTTGGTAAGAAGGTGGCAGCTAAGACGGATGGAGCTCTGTGAGCAGCAAAACTCACCATTCACTGGGCCCAAAAATCTAAATACCTGGGAAGAATGATAACTGAAGCAGGGATCTTACATACCAATACTCCTTGCAGCAGCCTGTGCTTTTCCTAAGCTGTAATGCCACCTGGCTCACGACAGCCCTGTTAAGGGCTGAGATTTGAAATCTTTAGATTTGGTTCATTTTGATAAGGTGGCATATTTTATTACAAAAGTGCTGCAGCTGGGTTTATTTTTTTCCTCAGAAAACTAGGTCAGGTTGGCACAGTGCAGTTGGGAGAGAAAAGGAAAAGGCTGCGCTACTGCAGCAAACGCTTTATTACCACTTGGGGGGTTTGTGTTTCGTTTTGGGGCAAGGGAGTCTTTTTTTTAAAAGAAAGAGGGTAATGAAAATCCTATCCAAATTTAGCTAGATGCTACCGTTGCTTCTGCTGCTCACCTTTTTCTTACTGCTCATTTTGTTACTTAAAGCATTTCTAAAGTAGGTCACAGGCTTTTAAAGAACCAGCTAGAAAAAGTTGTACTATATAGTCAGTTGTAGTGATTATATTTTTAACAAGGGTTTTAATTCACGTGATGTACCCTTTCTCGTGAGACACAGTGCTCTTCATCCACCTTTCTGTCCCTGAAATAAAACGTAAGGGTGGGGAAAACCCAGTCTCTGCAGTGGATGCATCTGGAATGGCCTATTTTTCATCGAGATCCTTATAGATTGCAGTCAGCATCAGCGTTGCTTGTTGAAGCTCTGTTACCTCTGGTTAGTGGCAGGGCTGCTCTGTTTCATGGCCCATGAGCACATTGCTCCCTGCTGTACCGCAGGCACCATCTCCTATTGCTATTGCTTTCCCCTGGAAAGCCTGCGGTGCCAGAGGCAGACTTGTGTCACTGTCAGCTCGATGTGTCCCTGCCCAGTGGTGTTACTGTCCTGCTAAGATGCTGCTGTTTCCTTGGTGGCTTTCTGCTCAGCTGTGCAGGCATCCTGACTTCAGTGCATTGTACAGAGGGGAACTGGGAGGCAGGAGTTTGATGTGCAGATGCTGCTGTAGCAGAGGTGGCTCCCAAGCGCTGCTCTGATTTGCGCTTTGGCGATGAACTCACTGGTAAAAGTCTGGGATCAGGACTTCAGCACGTGTCTTCATCCGTAACTGTAATTTCCTTCTCATTTAAGCACTCTTAAAAGTATTTTCCGTGATTAGGGGATTCTAGGTGAGGGTGGGGGCAGGAAAGAAAGGAAAGGCTGAGCAGAAAGGGTTGGGGGGAAGACTTTGTAGTCACTGCCAGGGGCCAGCTGTGACCTCAGTGATCAATTCTCATCCTGACCAGTTCACCCCCAAATATTTAATGTTTCTTTTTCTCCCTCAAAGACATTTAGCACTTGCTGTGTTGTAGACTAATAGGAGAGAAATACATTAATATTTCCATGCAAGTACAATACGTTATTTTCTACCTTCCCACCATTTTAACTGAAGAAGCTGTAACCCAGAATAAATGTCCTTTTGCTACCAAATTTCTTCTCTCAAAATGAGATGAATCTAACTCCGATTCCCATGTGTTTCCTAGAATGAAACATATTTAACTGTAAAATTGCATCTCCAAATGAAATTTTTAATTTTATATATAAAATCAAATTTAAGTTTTTGCTATAGATTTTTCTGTTGAGAATTTAAGATCCATTTTTAGACCGATATGTTTCAGTCTGATTTTACTTTTTTTTTTTTTCACTTTAAAACAAACTGACATTTTCCCTGAAGCTGGGTTCTTTTATTCACAAATGTTTTCTGTTAAAATACATCAACATTTTAAAAATAACAGTGTTAGAGCATTTTGGATCAAGCTTAGTGCAAAACTCCTTTTTCTTCCAAAAATACCCTGATGCAATAGCTTTTCTTTTAATTTATGTTACTTTTGGGAGCTTAGAAATGCTCAAGTTTCAGAGCATGAATTTAATCCTCTAAAAGGGATTAGGCAACTTTCCTCATGAGCAGGTTGTTGCCGCGCCATCTCTTGTAGGGCTTCTTGCATCTTCCTTTGGACGGTTTTGCCTGATGAACTGAAAAAAACTTATGTACAGTTATAGTCATTTTCTTGCACAGTCTTTAAGTCATCGCAAAATAATTTTTAGATCTGTTTTCCCTGCTGAGTTCTGGTAAGGAGTATATTTAGTGTAGATGTCAGTGCCCCAAACACTCCTTTATTCCTCGTTGTTCTGTACAGGGCAATGACTGAGCAGAGCACTGCCTACAGGATCACAGAATCTTCTAGGTTGGAAGGGACCTTAAAGATCATCTTGTCCAACGTTTCCTTCTGAGCCAAGTCATCCAAAGTCAGGTTTATTGAAGGCGTCTAGACCTTCACATCTCTCTGTATCCTAGGCTGTAATAATTAACAACAGCTTAAAACTTAAAAAGATCAGTGAGGAAAGGCTTGACTTGCACCAGCCTGCAACAACAAAAATAACACAATCTTCTTTACTGTGGTAAATCAGATACCGCCGGCAAGCTGCTAACCCATTGCCATCAAAAAGGAGCCAGCTTTTGGGCAGTACTCGTATCTAAGTATCAGAATGGTTGACAAAGGATGTGTTCATCATATTTCTCACTCAGTGACAACACAGAAAATAATATGTGTCTCTCAATTTCACACATGGCTGGGAGTTCACAATATTGGAAGTGACTTTCCCCTGTGGGAATGCTGAATCTACTGCAACTGTTTTTTTTTTTCTTTGAGAGAAATTATCTACAATCACTAGTTTCCTTTGCTCTTTCCTCTATGACCGAATTTGTGGAATTCCACTGAATGTATTTTAACTGAGAAGGATTTAGAGACTACATTCACCAGATCTGAAATATCAGGAAACATTGAAATTAATTTTAATGAAGAACCTAATTGCTTATATACATCTTTGTCTTCGAAAATATCTTTCAAAATCTGTGCTCCAAGGATATAGGCAGCAAAGCTCTGAAGAGTGCATTTGGCTTCAAGCATGTAAATATTACAGCTGAAAGCAGCAGCATTTCTCATGTGTTTAGACTATGCACATACCTAGCTTAGATGTGGAATTTCAATAAGACATCTACAGGAGACCTGTTTTCTTGTTATGGAAAAAAAGAGTTACACTCCTGCTCAGGTGCCCATATGGGAATACTGAGGTTCTGTGGACTCTTTCACCCTCCCTCTTTTATCATTCAGCAGTGATAAACTTTCTGTGGTCCATCACAATCACAGAATGGTTGAGGTGGCATGGAACCTGTGGAGGTCATCTAGTCCAAACCCCTGCTTAAACAGGGTCATCTAAAGCAGGTTGCCCAGGGCTATGTCCAGTTGGGTTTTGAGTATCTCCAAGGATGGAGACTCCACACCCTCTGTGGGCAACCTGTGCCAGTGTTCAACCACTCTCACAGTGAAAAGTTTTTTTTCTTCTGTTTAAGTGGAATCATTTGTATTTTAGTTTGTGCTTGCTGCATTTTCTCCTGTCAGTGGGCACCACTAAAAAGATCCTACCTCCCTCTTCTTCATTCTCTCCCACCAGCTATTTGTACACATTGATGAGAACCTCTCTGAGCCTTCCTTGTGGCAGGCTGAACTGTCCCAGCTCTTTCAGCCTTTCCTCATAGGAGAGATGCTCCAGTCCCTTAATCACCTTTGTGGCCCTTCACTCAACTCTTTCTAGTAGCTCCATACCTCTCTTGTGCTGGAGAGCCCAGA